TTCCGCGGGAAAACCGTGACACCTGTCCGAGGATGTTTCTGGTTCGAGTATTTCTGATCCTAGGTCGCCTTGCGGTCTCTTCTTTAATTGCTTCCGAGTCTCTGCTGCCCTCGCTAATCCACGCTGTTGGTTTTTAATTACTTCCGACTTTCAACTCATCGAAACACGTTACATGTAAGCAACTTCGTTAGCTGACAACGAAACACTGAATTTCTTAATGAAAATAGAATTCTTGAATTCTTTAAAATAGAGGTGAACAGTATTTAAAGAGGATTCGCACTATTGGTCGCCGGATTTCAATAGAATTATTGTCCGAGTTTCAGCCCGTCCCAAAGTCCACATTCCCCAGATTCCCCATGCACCCACGCGTTACACGAGGATTCAATTAGAAACGAGTCTTTGTCGTCGTCTAGATTAAACGGTAACAGTACGCGCGGGTAAACGAAACTAATTCCCGACGAGGTTGCCCTCTCTTTTCGAGGCACGTAGCCTCGTCGAGGAGAATTCGCGCGTGTAAAGGCACACGCTGAAACGTGCAGTCGCAGCTACATCGAACAAATTCGACTGGTCGAAGTTTATCGGGCCGGCAATCGTTTGCACGGTGTCGCGAACGGGCCAATAATCTTCCGCGAGACTGCTTGTTGATGGAAAATTCAAGGCTCCAGGGACTCGAGAGGGACCCGCTTGGGAAATCGCGCGGAAGAAAGGCGAGCAAAGGTTACGTTTGCGTTTGTCTGTTTGTTCGGTTGTTTGTTCTCGGCCCCGTTTCCGAGGGAAACCAGACCTATGCGTGTTCCTCGTACTCGCTAGGTGAATTAGACGATGGAAAAATCATTCTTCGAAGGATGATTTCCTCGTTGACCCTGTTGCTCTGTGATTTCCTGCGTTCTACTGGATTTTGTCTAACTGCGTAACGTTGAGCATCGTTTGTTGTTGAATAATTTATTGAATATACTTGAATTAATGTAAAAGCGATGTTGCTCTATTGTATGAGTTCTGATTAGTAAATCTAAACAAAATATTAGAATGAAACTGAAACGACTCATTGAGTTCCTAGATATACTGTCGTAGTTTATCATTTCTAATAACAATATCTATAGGATTCATTTCATTTTCATTATGTTAAATATAGGATTACTGCCGTCGCAAATATATAACGCTGAGAATATGTTAAACCGATTTCCAAATATTTCCCGATTTTACATTTTTATAGAATAGATAATATTCTTTCCAGTTATCCAAGGATCTACTCGTGTTTCCTATTAAGCTTGTTTCCACAGCTTCTGAACATGTTAACAGTAAACCTACCGAGCAGTTAACTTCACTTTCTGAAATTCCTGAGACTTTAATTGATTGATAATTCAGTATACGTGTTACTAAATCAATTTCTTGAATAATCTCTTCGAGAAATCTCTGTGATCCCTTTAATAAAAGAAGAAACCAGGAATCATGATTTCGGTTGGTTCAGTGTTAATCATTTTTCCTCTGAAATTTTCTTTCTACAGTTAACCGCGTCGGCTCCCGAGTGACTCGATTGTACGAAATAATACGATTGGTGTTTCATCGTTCCGCAGGTTGTTCGGAAAGAGGAGAAGACACAGACTCCGGAAGATCGAGATCGCAGCTGTTATTCCGCAGACCGGATCCCGACGAGGGTTATTTCGGCTCGATCAGCGCGGTCTAACCAATTTGAACCGTGCACGGCTAATCAACGCGTTAATTAGATTCCGACGCGAGTTCGCAACTTTCGGGCAGCCCCGAGCGAGCGGATAATCGAGCGCAACACCTCGGTAAACGGTTCGAGTAACTTTCGACGTCCTCCGGAAATTTTGGACGCCTGGTTTCCTTCCACCGCGACCTTCCTTCTTCGACGACGCGTCTTTTTCAATTGTTCTCGGCGATATTTTTCGAAATATACTAATAACAAATAATAAAGAATTACTCACTCATAGAAGAGTAACTCCCGACTCAGCCAGTTCCATTGCGTCGTTCCGCGTTCCCGTTGCACGGTTCCGCAGTCTGCAACAAAGAAACCGGTCTCGGAGAATGGAGTAAGTTTCAGTCGAGTCTCACGCAACAGTCATTACGCATCTGCAATTATGCAGCTAGGAGAAACTCGACTGATGTAGGAAGCAGAAGAATCATCCCCTGCGACACGGTTGTTAAGGATTTCGACGTTTTGAGACGCAGTGTGCTTTCTCGAAGATTCGATAACGAAGTGTAACTGCAGCATCCCTAATTTCCAGTTGATATTATCGATAACACTTAGTATAATGAGTCCTTCTTCCTTTCATTCTTTCCTTATGTTTGTACAATATATAATCCTTAAGCTTAATGTCGGTAGCCATAAATCTATGAAAAAGATACAAACATCTTAAAACAATGGTTAGAAATTTTCTGTAGCAGCCCCACTAATTCCACTTGATATTATCAATAACACTTAATATAATGAGTCCTTCTTTTCATTCTTTCCTTATACTTGTACAATATATAATCCATAAGCTGAATGTCAGTAGCCATCCCCAATCTATGAAAAAGATACAAACATCTTAAAACAAAGGTTAACAATTTTCTGCAGCAGCCCCAAATTGCTCTCGATATTATTGATAACACTTAATATAATGAGTCCTTTCTTCAATTCTTTCCTTATACTTGTACAATGTATAATCCTTAAGCTTAATGTCAGTAGCCATCCCCTCTATGAAAAAGATACATCTTAAAACAAATGCTAAAAATTTTCTGGAGCAACCCCACTAATTTTAGCTACAAGCTACCACTGGTAATAAGATTACAATTACGATTTTCTGTTTTATTGTTTCACTTTAGTTCCAACGGTTCCATTGCTTCCCATTGTTTCCATTTAATAATTATGAATATCCCAGCCCGGCGATAACAAATAATTACAGTTACCCTCCTACTAACAGAAATAAATTACCAACTCCCACGTGTTACGACTCGTCGCCCACCTGAACCGGAAGTGCTGGAACGGTGACTGCTCGTTTGCATCGCGGGGGATGATTTATCGCGAGGACCATGTGCGGCGCCGCGGGACGCCAATTCTTTCTCTACCCCTGTGTTTCCAAGTGTCTCCCAATGTTTCTCCCCCGGGTTTCGCAAGTTGGCCGAACTTGCCGAGTGGGTGTTTCGGGGAATGACGGAAACGGAAACTTGGACGCTCGGGGACCGTGGTGCACCGTGCTCGGAATTAATCTGTTGCCTTGTTTTGATTTTCCTTGCGATTTATGGCTAACCAGGGGGAAAAGATATCGTGCCTTTGCTAGAAACTTTCAATCGATTTCGGTATTGAGGACTGATAACGGAGAAATTGTATTAGAGTTCGAAAAGTCCTCGCGATTTCTGCAATTTTCGCAGGTACTCTTTGACAAAGAAGATTCGATGGCAGTCCTATGTCGAGTCAGACTGGACGTTCTATTCTATTGCAACCTCTACCTGTTTTAACAATTTTTTCTATATTTATTTGTAGTATCACAATTGTATCATTTAAAGGTAACATTTCAATGACTTCCAAATGTTCTTGAATAAATGAATAGAGCGTCATATCAAGCTGTAATTGAATGAACTAACGTCGACGTGAACCTCAAAGTGAGAAACCATACTCTTTTATTATCTATAATATCATTACTATATTATCTATAATATAATATAGTAATGGTTATTGAGAATTTTTGTAGCGAAGACTTTGAATGACAACTTCCAAAAGAGCAATGACAAACTAATGAAACATTTGAAATGGTTAATTCTGTATAACAACTAGAAACCTAAGAACAAAAGGGGATCATTAAATTCATGGAATCTTCCAGTGAGTATTCTAAACAGAACTTTCAAAAAAACCAGTGGCAAACTGCCCAGAATATCCAATTCTCCAGTAACAAGCCTGGAAATAGGTAAATGCATCGAGTAAAAAGAAAAGCAACTGATTCCCTGGTTCCACCGTCTGGCAACGGTCATTCAAGAAGGATGAGGCGAGAACCAGTGCCATTCCCGATATCCCAATAGGTGGTACTATCAGTCACGCCGCGAAACAAGGCAGTTAAAACTTCGCGGCAATTATCCTTCGGGTCTAATTAATTTTAATTAGCGTGAACATTAAATGTCCGCGGACCTGGAATCTGCGTAGGGTAGAAAATCAATGGGAACCAGCAAGATAATAATGGCAACGTGCAACCCGGCTCCGTCGTTGTCCGATCGATTACAGCATTCTCGCGATTAGTACCCGAAAATCAAGATCCAATCCGAGCTGCTTTGTTCGTTCTCTGTGGAGAAGAATATCATTGAAACTTGGTTGTTCTAAAGGTATCAACATCATTGCAGCTGGCTTCATTAGAGGGATCAAAGATACTGATAATGGTGTGTTAAGGAAGATCTTCATTTAGGTACCTTGCTGGTGTTATGCATCAAAGAGCACTACTAGTTTTTTAATTGGACGCGTGGAAAATTAGAAAACAATCAAAGGGCACCACTAGTTTTTTAATTGAAACCATGCACAATTAAAAAACTAGTGGTGCTCTTTGATCTATAACATCAGCAAGGTACCTATGTGAAAATAATCCTCCTAGACTATTATCATATGACATATTTTCACATTTCAAAATAGTCTTCTTTAACACACCATTATCAATGTGCCTTTGGCCCCCTGATGAGGCCAGCTACAATGATGGCTTGCTGATGTTCTGGATCAAAGAGCTAAATGTTTTGTTCAAAACTAATTTTTTAATTGGACAGATGAACAATCAAAAAACTAGTGCTGCTATTTGATTTATAACATCAGCAAGGTACCTATCTGAAAATACTCCTTAACACACCATTATCAGTGCACCTTTGACCCCCCTGATAAAGCAAGCTACATTAATACCTTAAAAACACTCTTACCTACAGCTCTCACCAAAAGTCAAGTTTCAATGTACCAATCCAGGTTATAAAAGCATCAAACCTACTAACCCATTATCTCTACAACATTGAACGAATCCTGTCCTTTCCAGGTGGTGGTGCCAAAGAGGGCTGCCCTGCTATTCGACCAACTGATGGTAGCCTTGCAGAAGGTAGTCGACAACCAAAACAGAGGCGAGCTAGGTGGCAGCAGGACGTTCACGAGATCGTCGGGGTCTCACATGCCTGCTGGGGAGACGCAGATCGTCCCGTCAGGGGACGACCAAACTGTGAAGGTGTCCCATCACGAATCTGTCCTTGCACGTGTTTCCATTAGATGATCTGTGGTAGCAATTACACTATGCAAAAATGAAACATCAAATAAAAAACAAAGATTATCGATACATGTAACAAGTTGCAAATAACGCACAAAGATAATAATAATAATAATGACGCGCCTTGGTCCCGCGCTGGAATCGTTCGAGAAACGTCGCTAGTGTCGTTTCCCGCTCAAATTTGCGCGCGAAAAAGGGACTGATGGTATATTATATATACTAGTTCTTTGTGAATTTTTCTGTTGATCGAAATTGTAACAGTGAACGTTAACGTTAAGGTTATGTCTTTGCACGTGTCACACGTTTTGAGTGAAAGATTAATACGGAATTTATAATGTAGAGATTTAGCTACTCGAAGCTGAGACTACTAACCTTGTTCTCCGTAAGTTAGAAGGGAAACTAAAGACGTGAGAATTATGAATCAATCGAAATCTCAATGGATGCGCTCTTCTAACTTCTACAGTGAAATTAGAGAATTAGAATTATAGAGAAAAATGGGTACAACAGAATCCCTGAACCAAGTCCTGAATTTTCTGTCGTTGACGGTTGCAAAAAGGCGCCACTTTCGCTGCCGCAGATCGAATCGACAGATGATCATTTACCGACCGAACGAATTAATTTCCAGATGGACCTGCAACGACGCGGCCAGTCGAAAGAACGAGTATACTGGCGCTGCTACTTCAACGCGGTGACGTGCTTCAAAAGGAAGTGATAACGAGCCGGAACGTCCGCCGGTCCTCAGCCTCGACTTCGACACCCGACTCGACGATCCCACACACGTATATCATCTTCTCACACGAACCTGCAACATACACGCACCTAGCTGCACACGACAGACACCGGACAAATAAAGTCGCGAAACGAAAGGAAACTATCCCCTAAGTCCCACCGATCAGATTATTCTTATAATCCGTACCTTCCTCGCGAGTCGGGATCGCCGTTTCAACCCTTAACACATTGATGACCGGTAGTTTTCCATGTCCCATGTCACCGGTTATTGTTTCCTAATTAAACATGGAAGTGAGACAATCGGAATAAACTTCAATATACTTCATTTAATTTCATATACTTGAAATTAAATTTTGGACATATCTTTTATAGCTTCGAATATTTATTGCAATTACATTATTCTACGTTTCAAAAATTGAAATAGCTGATGCCAGTAAACACGAGTTAACGCCGGTCAACAATGTGTTGAGATCTCCATCTTCCTCTTTCCCTTCCTCTCACACTCTCTCTCTCTCTCTCTCTCTCTCTCTCTCTCTCTTTCGAACACACGAACATGTGTTGTGAAACAATGTTTTGTCTCTCTGGCTTATAAACATCGGCATGCATTCGATTAAACGTTACCTTCTATTTTGGGAGCGTACCAAAAGCAAGACAGAAACCTGGTTGTGCTGGTTCAATTGGTCACTTTTGAAATTCAAGCGATCCCTGATCCGCGTCTCGTCTGAGATTGACACGTTCGGTGCCACGTGTACTACATATGGTAAGAAAATGTTTTTAACTATTTCTACCGTTGTCGAGACACCTCTTGAAACTTTAACTTAAAATTATCTTCCAGATTTAGTCATATATTCTGAATTCATTTTTTGACTTTTCCCATCATTATAAAATCGACTATAGGAAACGTCAAAAATTCAATGGAGAAAAAATAATGAAACTGAGGAAACATTTATAAGTTAAAATTTTAAAGGGTTCGACACAGTAGAAACAGCGTTGACACATGGTCAAGAATAACGGTATACAAAGCACCGTAAAGAAACAATATGAAAATATATAAAAATTACCAAGAGCTTGAATATCATTTATTTTATTTAAAAAATCAATACAGTCCATAAGGAAAGTGTTACCGAAATTTCCGTGGCACGGAACGTGTTAATCCCCATCGACTCCCATCCGAAGTTTCCCATGAGGGTGTCGAGGTGCGTCAAGGCTCCTCGAGCAACCCCTACTCACAAGGGTCCTCCGAACACGACACGCGATCGATGTCCGAAACACACCGCTGGTCTTGGTATTATTATATCGAATAAAGTGATTATTCAGATTACAAGACTGTGTACGGGGGACGGTGCTTTTATTCAATGGAATTTTAGGTACATTGGTTGCTGTGGAGCTGGATGCTGGTTAACGAAGTCCGAGTGCTGGCAAGAGTCATTTTGTTTAAAATAGACGGTTCAACACGTTGAATGCTGAATTTAGTTCTCATTAACTTCATGTCAGCTGGTATTTATTGTGTATATTGGTGCTATAATAATAATGAGTCCAGTGTGAAAAATAATTGAAAGAGAATATTAAAACAGTCTGAAGTCCATGATGTTTGTTGGAGCACTCAACGTGTTAATCTTTAAAAACAAGATTAAAAAAGACGTTTTAGATAATTTCTAATATGGAAAAGGTGATACAAGAAAGCTTAGCTTTCGAATTTCCTGAAGTTGGTTCATGTGGAAAACTTCAAATGAGTCTCCAACGTTAACTGGAGTCATGGGGCTCTGTATTAGTAACTGGAGTCTCCAGATCACGCGATTTCATCGCTACGGATAGTCTCTCCAGGCAAAGCAGCAGCTCGCAGTGCTTCGTGTGCGGAAACATGTCGACGGCCACAGCCTTCACTGGCACTAACGGGTCGCCGACGTACTGCTTCGACGGTGGCCTGGCCAGGTCCACTAAATTCCTCGCGGCAGCTCTCGGATCGCAGGACACGTAGACCAGCCGCGACAATTTGTTCGCCTTGCGCAGAGTCAGCAAAGCTCGTTGATCTGAAACGTTTCTCCCTGTACTAGAGCTCTGTTATTTATCAGATCTGTTATTTATCAGATTAGTCTTGGTCTTACGAAGTCCTGCCCGTGGAGGATCCACAACAGCAACGATGTTGGACTTGGTGGTCCTGCGGATCACTGGAGGGAGGATGTCCTCCGCTTTGCCCACGAAGAACTCGCAGTTAGTCACGTTGTTCGCGACTGCGTTCTCCCTAGCGTCTTTTATAGCGTCCTCCACCACTTCCAGGCCGAACACCTCGCCGCAGTGCTGCAATGTCCTGAATTTAATACTCTGGAATACTCTGGAATACTTTTCATGGAGTCTTTTTACCTTTGAGAACACCAGACCAATCGTCCCAGTGCCGCAGCAGATATCCAGCAACGCTGTGTCCTCGTTGGGTGCTGCCAAGTCGATGGCTGCTTTGTACAATACCTCGGCGCCCAAGGTGTTCACCTGGAAGAACGCCTGCGGAGACACTCGGAACTTCATGCCCAACAACGTCTCCTCTATACACTTGGAGCCGGAGATATGAGTGAAATTGTCTCCATTCTCGCCATCAATGCTTCTGTGCAAGAATAAAGATACTGATAAAATCCAGGGACCTTATATCCTCTATTTCTGAGTTACTGTTTTTGCTGCTGGCTTACTTTTTGTTCATTATTTGGAAATGCAAGGATGTAACCCCTGCCTCTGCACCCTTTCCTGTCTCGAAGAAGTCCTTCAGCTGTGACCTTAGTTCCTCTAATTGTTCGGGGCTCAAATCCTGTGGGTGGATACCCACTATCACCATCAGATCACCCGAGAGGGTTGATCTGACTGTAACTTGCCTCCAGTGTCCACTGTGGTCAACTGGTTGGAAAGGTTTCAGACCAGAGTTTCGTATGAACTCTTCGAGAATCTAAAATGTGCTTATACAAAAGACGAATTTAAGGAGTCGATGGTGGAAGGTGTCTTGTGGAGAACTTACTTTGACTACAGTCTTCATTTTATTGGGAATGTGACAGAGGTCGTCTATGGGTCCTACAGCAGTGGATCCAGCTGCATAACTGGACAGTCTGAATCCTATCATAGCTTGGTTACCATCAATGCTTCTACCTGTGTGGTGATAGCATTGTACCCATTTGTATCATTTGATGTTACCATTGAGATAAATAGGTCTACTGTAGAATTACCAACTGTAAATTCACACTTGTTTCTGTACTCAGTGTTCTTGTCTGTGCTGAGAATAGGGAGTAATTCGCAGGGCAGTCCTTCATACTTGTTCCTCTGATAATTTAACCAGTCTAAAAGATCATCCTTGCTGTCTTTCAACATTTGCTTGCAAATATTTGTTAGAATAGACCTCATTTCCTTTTGTTTCAACTCCAACTAAAAACAAGAAAGAGGATCCTTATGTGTCCTTAGTAATCTTATGTGCTTAATCATTGATAACTATCTTACTTGATCAGGATAAGGCATATTCCACAATGGTGTTGTGGTGGATTTAATCCTGTCCTCAACAGAGATAGGTTCACTGTCATCTATCTTTAAACGCTTATTGATATTCTGCTCCTCTAATCTTCGTTTCACAAATGGATCTGGAGCTGGCTTAGCAATCTATGTCCCAAGGGATGAAAGAATTTCATGTATATCGGTTCCAATGTTTTAATGCTAGCAAATAAAGATGTACCTGTGCTGTAAGTTTAGAGTTTTTCCACTGAATCCCATTCAGTTTCTCTATAGCCTTTTGACGGTTCTCTTCATTTCTGAAGGACACGTAGAGCCATCCACTGCCCTTTCTTGGTGGTTTCACCTTGCATGTTTGTAGCTCGAGCTTTTCATTTAAAAGCTTTTTAAATTCACCTATGCCGTAATACTTTGGCAAACCACGTATTTCAATCTTATACTTCTCTGACGTGAAGTCGTCTCTATCCAGGTAAGCATAGGGGTTCTTCTCCACCCCCGTGGATTCGTTTGTAGTCATTCTTTTGAAATTTTCTTTCACAATCGTAACTTATACAACTCACTCATAGAACCATAATATAATTTGCTAATAAAGGTAAATTCCCCGACTAAGTCCACGTGTTTTTCTATCTTTCTATCAAAACACCACGTGCTGGAAGTTGCATAAGGTTAGGGTTAAGTTGGACCCAACCTACTCTGACTGTCACAACAAACGCGAAAATGGTCGGACAGAATTTGTACCCAAAGAAATTAATTGGTGAATTAAAGATAAAGAAATCCGATAAAAGCTATAAAATATTTTTTAGTGGTATTGATAATAAATAAATGTGCAAATAACGCTAGCATAAAAAACTTCCTGACATCTTTTGCGTTGCTCTTAACAAAACGTCGCATTGCTGTTTGTGGAATATTTTGATTTAAAACTATGTTATCTATTAATGTAATCTCTTCGTAAATGTTTATATACATTATTTTTGCATAGATATGAATGTTTCTGTTGATTTCATTGGAGGAGTAAAATTATTGATTTTTTTTATATTACAATGACTGAGGAAGCTAAGAGCTGTTATTTGAAAAGTAATGATACAGAATTACTAACTGTATTCTTGCCACATCAAAAACCTGTTATTGTGGGACGTTGCCCGGAGACTAACATTACGGACTCACAATGCTCTAGACAACAAGGTTAGCAGCTTTTTGTCTGATCATTTATATAATCAATATGCTTTGCATAATGTATCATTTGCCATTATTCTTTACAGTACGACTCTGTGCAGATTACCAGGAGTACAAAGTTTTTATACAGCAGCTTGGAAAAAGGTCTTGTGGGTTCAATGGCTTTAAAACTCGTAAAGATGTCAAATTTATAGGTCAACATGAAGACCACTTAGAAATGTTATATGGTAAATACGTATATGAAATTGAATTTAACCCTCCTCCTCCTAAAACTCTGTTACCTCAGAAGAGAACTAGACAAATAGACAGAAGTACTGAAGATGAAGAATATACTCACAAACAAGCAAAACTTGAAGACAACTTAGATGACAATAGTTTTGTGAAAGAAGAGCACAACGGAGAAAAGGAGAAAGAAACAAAACCAGCAAAAAATACTGAAAGTAGCATTTTGAAGTTTCTAAAAAAGCCAAGCATGAGTTCCAATAAATCAAAAGATGGGACTAACTCTGTAGGTGAGAAGGATGAACAAAGTACATGGGAAAGTAAAGAAAATGGAGCATTATTAATATGTACAACAAAAGATGTAGAAGGTCGTTCAAAGGTAATTAATTAATATTATTCATAAGAAGTTCATGCAAGATTTAACAAGATACATTCATTATCAGATAGCTGCATACGATATGGATGGAACATTGATAAAAACACGTTCTGGCTTAGTATTTCCAAAAGATTTTGACGACTGGCAACTTATATATCCAGAAGTATGTGGGAAATTAAAGACACTTCACAGTAATGGTTATAAAATAGTCATTTTCACTAATCAAGGAGCATTGGGTACAGGAAAGCTGAACGTTAAATTATTCAAGAATAAAATAAAAAATATAGTACAAAGAATTGGTGTGCCAATGCAGGTATGCTTTGAATTCAGTTGAGCAACAGTACATAAGCTTATTCTGTATATGTTAATTTGTTTGTAGATTTTTATAGCTACTGGAAGTAGCATCTATAGAAAACCAGCAATTGGTATGTGGCAACAATTGGAAAAGAACAATGATTCCGTACCCATTGACAAAGACAGTTCTTTTTACGTCGGGGATGCAGCCGGCCGACAAAAAAATTGGGCTCCAGGAAAGAAGAAAGATCATTCATCAGTAGACAGATTGCTAGCATTAAATTTAGGCTTGAAATTTTATACCCCGGAAGAACATTTTCTTGGACACAAAGAAGCACCTTATCTACTGCCAACATTTAATCCAAAAACATTACCAACTGTTGATGTATGTACAGGGGGAAATATAACTTCGAATGTTCAAGAGGTAATTAGAACGATATTACGCAATGTATAATTCATAAATATGCTGTGAGTGACATATTTTTAGATAATCTTGATGGTTGGATGTCCAGCATCGGGCAAATCATTTTTTGTAAAAAATTACCTAAGCAATTATGGATACGTTAACAGAGATAGTCTCGGGAGTTGGCAAAAATGCATTAGCGCCGTGCAGAAACATCTGATTGATAACAAGAGTGTGGTGGTGGATAACACAAACCCGGATACTTCCTCCAGACAACGATACATTGAAGTAGCAAAGAAACATGGTGTTCCTGTGAGATGTTTCGTCATGACGACAACTATGGAACATGTGAAACACAATAATAAAGTAACAGAATATTAATTGTTGATTACATAAAATAGCCATTGCAACTGTGCTATTGAATATTGTATACAATTTTTTTATTTCAGTTTCGAGTGTTAACAGATCCCAGTCACGCTAGGATTACTGAGATAATCATTAACTCTTACATGTAAGTGATAGATCCTTATAAAATTAATGATATTGTAACACAGATTCAGTGAATGGTATATTTTTTTTTAGAAAAAATTATCAATCACCGACCTTGGACGAGGGTTTTACAGAAATCGTACAAGTTAACTGCGTCCCACTGTTTCAGAATGATGACCATCGAAAACTGTACGAAATGTATTTACTTGAAAGCTAGTATTACTCGTTTATAATATACAAAATCACTATAGGCATGCTTGTATGTACTTAAGTAGTGTTATCTAAGTAATATTTATTTTACAATGTACTTTAAGAACAACTGGCTTTTCTTTAAATATTGTATAATTAAAAGCGAATTATTTAAAAAGACATTGTAACATTATAATTTTTTAATAAAATGAATACGCACTTTTAATGACTATTGTAGCTTTCCTTGTCATGTGTATATCACAGTAACGGCACTATGATATCGGGGAACCCTGTTCTCTATGTAATTTTTATTCCCTCTAAATCTTAAGGAAAACATAACCTCCTTAAAACCGCATGGTGTGTCTCAGTGTGTCAATGCATAACATAAACATTGGGAATTTTTATTAGAAATAATTATGACTGATACAAAATGTCACGTCTAATAGTAAAGAATTTGCCAAAAAGTGTTAGTAACAAATCTTAACTATATAATTACAATGATAAAATGTGGTAGAAGCATAATGTACACTGAAACTTTATAGATTACAGATACAAAATTGAAGGAATTGTTCAGCCAAAAGGGTTTAGTAACTGATGTGCAATTGAAATACACAAAGGATGGAGTGTTTCGACGATTCGCATTTATTGGATTCAAAACAGAGGAGGAGGCTATAGCTGCGAAGGAATATTTTGACAAAACATGCATAGAGACTAGCAGAATATCGGTTGATCAATGTGCAAGTCTAGGTACCTTAAGAATTATAGTAGATTAAGGTTACTTTTGTTGCAGTAGTTTATATTTTATGCATTCAATCTCATAGGGGATTCTTCTAAACCCAGGTCTTGGAGTAAATATGCATCTGATAGTTCCAAACAAACTGCAGTTAATAAGGGTTCCACTGACACAGCAGAGAATGATTCTTTGGAGAAGACAAAAGCCAGTGAAAAGAAAAAGGAAAAAGATAAAAAGAAGAAGCAAGAAAAACTTGTAAAAGATGAAGTGAAAGAAGCATTAGAAAAGGTAAATTTATCATTGTTTGGTAACAATATTTATAATCTAATGTTTACACTGATTTAACTCAGCACAAAGATGACCCTTTATTCATGGAATTCCTTGAAAGTCATACAGCAAATAAAACTGTATGGACCAATGACACGATATTAGCAGTCACTAAGGAAAAGGATCAAAGCAACAGTGAAGATGACGATGAAGAAGCCACTGATAAGGATGAAGATGATGAAGAAGAAGAAAAAGATGAAGAAAAGGAAGAGAAGGAAAAAATTGCAGATAAAGTTATATCTGATTTAGAGGTGATTAAAATTTTATCTGTCACAAATTGATCCTTGTAACATACCACAAAAGGATAATAATATTTATTTTTCTTAATATAGTACATGCAAGCCCTGAAGAAAGGAAAAGACCAAGCTGAGAAAAAAGAGAACATTGCAAACAATAAAATTACACTCAAGGGTGGCCCACAAAAATTTTTTACTGTGAAGCTTCGTGGACTAGGATACAATCACAAGAAGAAAGACATCAAACAGTTTTTCCATCCACTGAAAGCAAAATCGATAAGAGTGCCTCGCAAGATTAAGGGAATAGCTTATGTTGGTTTCAAAACAGAGTCACACCTTAGGAAAGCACTACTGAAGAATAAAAGTTTTCTAGGTAATAATACAACACTTTACGTAAATCAGAAGTCTAATTTCAACTGTTTACTAGTTCCCATGGGTTTCTAGATGGTAAACAAATATTTGTAACGAGATATGAAGAGAAGGAGAAAACCACAACTGAAGAGCAGAATGAAAATGAAGCAAACAACAGGTGGAAGAAACAAGAAGAGGCGTTGAAGGGTGAGGAGAGCATAGCAGAATCCGGAAGAATGTTCATCCGAAATCTGTCTTACACCACAACGGAGGACAATATCCGGACACTGTTCGAAAAATACGGTACACCATTCCTCTACTGAATTGATGTCTAATTAATCTCTTTCGTGTATTATGAAACGTATCAAACAATTCAGTCAATTCAACTGCTCCAATTCTTTCCATCTAGGTCCCTTAACAGAGGTGAACCTGCCAGTGGACAGAGTGACCAGAAAACCAAAGGGCTTTGGCACAGTGACGTTTCTAATGACCGAGCACGCAGTGAAAGCGTACAGCGAGTTAGACGGCACCATCGTGGACGGCAGAATGCTGCACCTGCTTCCCGGCAAGGCGAAAGTGGATCCACTGGAGATGCTGAACGACAAAGGACTATCTTACAAAGAGAAGAAGCAACTGAAAGCAAAGGCGACTGCAGGGTCCTCGCACAACTGGAACGCGCTATTCCTCGGTCAAAACGCAGTGGCGGATGCCATCGCTGCTACCTACAACACAACCAAAGAAGCTGTCCTGGAGGACAGCTCCACGAAGGGCCTAAGTGCTGCAGTGAAATTAGCTCTGGGAGAGACTCAGCTGGTCCAGGACACCAAGAACTTCTTGGAGGAGAACGGCGTTTGCCTGGACGCGTTTAATCAGCCCGCACTGAAGCGATCCAAGACCGTGATATTAGTGAAGAACCTGCCAGCCGCGACGCCGGCGCAGGACCTCTACCAGTTGTTCAGCCCGCACGGGGAGCTGGGGAGAGTGGTGATGCCGCCGTCAGGGATCACCGCGCTGGTGGAATTTTTAGAGCCGTCCGAGGCGCGCAAGGCGTTCACCAAATTAGCATACACCAAATACAAACACCTGCCGCTCTATCTGGAATGGGCGCCCGACAATAGCTTCACGACGCCCGCCGAGAGGAATAAAATAGGCGCCAGGGTGGACCTCGGAGAGGAGCAAAAGAAGCCTGAGCAGAATGAGGAGGAGAAAGAACAGCCGAAGGACGAGAACAAAAACAGCAAAGTCGAAAGCGAGGACGAAGAGGAGCCCGAGCCAGACACCACTCTCTTTGTCAAGAACATTAATTTCACGACCACGGACGAGGACCTGAAAGCGGTATTTTATAAGTTAATCACGGATTTTTCGAATTCCACTTGACTGTGGTGCGACGGTATTCTGAAGTTTACTGTTACATTGAATGCGTAAAGGCCACAGTCTGCTGAGAGTGTGAACTTGGCGAGAGTTAGGGTTCTCTTAAGAGTGGTGTGTAATTTGTTCTATGTTCAGTATTTCAGTAAATGCGGTCCAATTCACTATGCCACGATAGCAACGAAGAAGGACCCGAAGAACCCTAGTGCGAAATTGTCAATGGGCTATGGATTCGTGAGGTACAAATGGAAGGCAGACGCAGAGCGTGCCCTGAAGACTTTGCAGATGACTGTGCTGCAAGGGAAAACGTTGGAGCTGAAACGTTCTGAACGGACATTGACGTACGTTGACTCGTTTATCTTGGATTTCTTAACGCTTGTACTTAACCCCTTCTACAACAATGAGTGAGACTCGTGGTGAAGATTTTCAACATGGTTCAACAAATACAAATACTGTTACACTTAAAAAGAAATATGGGCATAACGTGTGCTTAGAATTTTTCTCTTTTTCCAATAAATTATTAACGACAAAGTAGCCTTATCGATCAGAGTTGAAAAAGACATCATAGGCCAAGGGGTTAAAGAATTATTGTGTTGCAGCACCGACGTGAAAACTGCGAAGAAGACGTCCAAAGTGACCGCTCAGACTGGTACCAAGATTCTGATAAGGAATGTCCCCTTCCAGGCGAACGCTGCGGAAATATCTGAACTGTTCAAGTACGTACTTGAAACGTCACTCGTCAATGATTATTTAATAGTGGTTTAAGGATCAAGTAATGTATGATTGTAGTAGCAATTTCCAGTGAAAATTCTTGTTATCGTTGACAAAGAATGAAGTGTTTTAACGAGATTCATTGAGAACAAACTTTCAATGTCGACGCTGAATAAAAATTGAACAATCCGTAGAGCGTTCGGCGAGCTGAAGGCGGTCAGGTTGCCAAGGAAATTGGTCGGCGTTGAGAAACACAGGGGTTTCGGGTTCGTCGAGTACTACACGAAAAGCGAGGCCAAGGTACTCGTCGATGCGCATTGAATTAAACGTTGTTTCTTTTTAATCGGGTTTACGATCATCGATTAAATCCCCTTCTGCTTACCGCAGAAAGCGTTCAAGGCCTTGTGTCAGAGCACTCACTTGTACGGGCGAAGGTTGGTGCTGGAGTGGGCGCAGGCCGAGGAAGGCGTCGAGGAAATTCGGAAGAGGACTGCCAAGCATTTCCATCAAGGTACTTCAAATAATTTAATGCTATTGAATTTGGAAATTTTGTGGGTCTACGCTTTAGGTATTATTACCATTGAAAGGCTAATTCTATCAATTTTATCAATCCTTTCAGCTCTAGCAATTTTATCAATCCTTTCAGCTCTACCAAGTCTTTCAGCTCTACCAATTTTACCAATCCTTTCAGCTCTACCAATTTAACCAATTCTATTTCCAGACGACACAGCAAGCAGGACCAAGAAAGCAACCCTAAATCCCGAAGATGTCGGCTTGAAAGTAGATTGAACGAAGACCACTGAATCGCCCAGTTGAGTGGATGTCCTAACTTCAAACTTTCCTACGAAACCAACGATCGTTAAGAACAATATACATCACTCTCCAACATCAACGAATCTCTCCGCAAATCAACGAAAAGCTACCACTCAGAAGACCGAAGGAGCAACGATTGAAACGAAGGACACGCGTCAGTGGTCGACGGGAAAAGACATCGCAGCGTCTGCCCATGGAAATTTGTAAATAGCCAGCCAGCGTATCGAATAAACTATAAATTCATCGAACACATCCGCGATTTTATCGCGCGTTTCCTTTCGTCGGTTGGCAACGGCTCAAGCCCCGTCGAAAGTCAAACAATCCCGGGGCGTGTACCGGCGACATTGACCTTCGCGTCACGTCGACGCCGCCGCTCTTTCTCTCGACGTCGCTTTTCTCGAAAATAGTTTGGATTTCTACCGGGACGCGCGAGCGCGCGTCGCGGTTACCAATGCCCCGCGTATTTAGGTTCGGCGGATATCGCGCGCTTAATCGGCGACCCACGCCCAGCCCGACTTAATTGCAGCCCCGAGGCGAGCTGTTGCACCGGCCGCTGCAAGAATGCGTTCCCCGGTCCCGGCCAGGTTTCGCTTTTGATCTTGCTGTTCGACTGGTTCCGACGACATTATTGTTAGTAATTTATTGCGTGGGACTAGCGGAGATATTATCGTCCGAGTAAAAGAGACGAGAACGAATGGTTCGAACTATTCAAACTTTATACTGTATATGGATCTCGGAATCTATTCATTTGAGTCGATTCAATGTCCAGACAATTCATAAATTAATATTCTGAAATGATTATACATACTCTGAAGCTGTAAGAACTTCCTGATTTTGGAAAACTGGGTAAGTCCTTCAATATCATTTATTCCACAAAAGTCCATCAATAAGAATATCATTTATTCCATAGAAATGTACAAAAATCAGGAAACATCGAAAAATCGGCTTCATTAGCCACGCATTTTCATTTACTTCTCAACAGTCTAAAAAACCGGGTGAGTCCATCAATAAGAATATCACTTATTCCATAAAAATATAAAAAATCAGGAAACATCCAAAAATCGACCTCATTAGCCTCATTAGCTTCAATCACTTCTTCCTCAACAATCCAAAAAACCACCGGCTACCATAAGCTCAAAGTCCACTAAATGTCAGAAGACACACTAAGGAAAGCTAATCGAGCTATTCAAGACCCTAATCAAGCTCCAGTTTGACAGCAGTCCGACATGATCCTCTCTAAATCTAGCGAACACGAGACGAAGGCGCGGCTCGGTATTTGCATACATTCCGTCCGTTCGAAAACAGCTTTTCCCAAAAATAAAGATAGCCCGTGGTTATCAGCGTCGAAAGAAGCCAGCTAACCAGGCAGCCTCGGTGGAGGGAAGAAATGTTTTTCCTTTCACCTGCGTGTCCGAGAGGAACACGGCGAAGGAGGAGGAGGAGGCGGTGCGGGGGAGGAGGGGAGGAGAGAGCTCGAGGAGGCGGAGAGACGACCCATGAAAGTAACAGTGCCTTCTCCCGGGCGAAACTCAGTCCGAGTCTCCCAGCCCTGGAGAACGGTGCGCGTGTCCTGTTGTCTCTCAGTCAGTGAGGTGGTGCCGGAGCCGACAAGGTCGCGTGATACACCCGTGCCACCGGAAACCGTTCCGCGAACATTTTTCCGACCGGGTACCACCGTCCCCGCGGACCGATATGTGCACGACCTGATCGAGGGATCAGCAACGAGAACGATCGATGAGAAAGGATAGCTACCGTGGATCCGCTAAAATGGACTGGGTAAGTCGGGGAGGGTCAAGGGTTGAAGGTTGAGTTGCGATGTTGAGGAAGATTTCGGAGGGAGTTATTTAGTTGACGTTGGAGGAATTAACTATGTACTGGGAAGTTTCTCGTTAGGAATATTGGACATTTTTTAACTAGACACAGACAATATTTTTTTAAATTGACTTAAAGAAAAGTTGCATGTGAATTGAGAAACAAAGATTTTCATTCCAATATTTTACACATCGATGCATTATGTACAGTTGAATAATATTAAATTCTTTAGTTTTACTACATGAGATCAAGTGACTGAGAGTCACCTCTCGAGTGCAAAGGGTTAACTCTGCACTCGGAGGTTTCTGGTTAGGAATATTTAACCCTTTGCACTCGAGGGGTGACTCTGTCATCACTTGATCTGATTTGCAAAATTATGAAGTCTTGTATATAATATTAAGCTTTGTATGATGCATCAATATGTGGAATATTGAAATAAAATAACTTTATATATGTTTCCTCGTTAATTCATTTCAAAGAACTTCTTCTGTATCTCATCGCAGAGTATTGAATATTTTAGTGAAAAACTTTCGAGTGCAAAGGGATAACACTAGATTTTCGAGTCAGTTTGATTCATATTGAATTTTATTAGCTGTTTAGATTTCTTAGATTTAAATGGACGATCAATCTTTCTGGGAACGATAGGATAAATTATAAATGTTCGTAAATCTAGTGTTAACGTTGTTTGAAGATCTTTGAAAGTAAGTTGGGGGAAGTCACAAGTGCATTCAGGAAGAAAGAATATTCTAATATTTTATGTATCGAGAGGTTATATGAGGATCGATATCAAATGGATTTTATAGTTTGATTTTGTCAAACCAGAGGGTAGTTGTGAAAGAACATAGGAACAAGGGATAATTTGCTCGAGTTAACTCTGATCCGTTTCAATCCTGTGTAGAGATAGACTCCACGTTCAGTTTAGTATAGTTGAGTGGTAATAATAATAACAAATCGTATGTATAAAACCATGATAATCAAAAGTAGAGGAATATCAAATGGAAATTTGGAATATTGATATTTGGTTACGATTATGTCCATAAAACAGAGAAGAAAATAAGATAAACCTCTTTGTCGTGTAATTACCTTGGTCGTCCATTTTCCGTGTTGTCCTTTGATCGAATGAACGTCTGCTCGAAGGTTGAGACTTCATTTTACGGTTGCAGCGTCGTGATGCAATCTAGAGAGGATTGATACGCTTGAGGATCCTCCGAGAGGAGATAGAGTTTCGAGTTGGCTTGGCTTTCAGGTTGAGGCTTGGTTGACCTTCGGAAGGCCGCTTTCGAGTGGTCGGTGGTGTTTAGATTCGACGTTCGGACATTCTTGCTCTAACTGTGGAAGTGGACAAATGAAAAGTTCCTTGAGAAAAGAGAAGGGTACTTCTATTTTCTTAAAACCTCGATGCCGCGCCGCAGAATTTATATATTGCCAAAGAAAGTGTCTAAAATTCAGTATGCGTTAGATTCTTCCGCAAGCTCAGCGTTAACCCTTTGCAAAATGAGAAAAACTGACATCTGGATATTCATCGTACTCAAGTGAAACTATTTATTTCCAGAATCATTCCAAGTATTCAATGCTTTCAAGGTATTAACACTAGCTTCACGAAACGCGTCGCTTTGACGCATATAGAATTTGATAAACATTATTTACTAAATATTTACCTCGATTTTGATCGATGCAACTACAAGAATATGTATCGCAAATGTCTATTTTAAAACCCCTAATTTCTAAGATCTAAACGAATGAATATTCACTGTGCTGGGAACAACAGAATAAACTACAATAAACGTCGTAAACCTAGTGTTAATAACTGCGAAACAAACAAATCGAGACCAGTCATTTTGACTAGTTCTAGTATCAAGCGATTGAATATAATTCAGTTTCACAGCCGAAGGTTCGTAGATTTCAAAGCACCTTCGTCGAGCGTAGCTCGCCTAGCTCGCAGCTCGGCCGTCCCGTTCGGAGACTTCAACGCCGGGTCAGGAGATGCGCGCCGCTAGCCGGCCGAAGAGGATCACGTCGGGCGACGCGATCCTCCTCGAAACGACGGCTTCGAGAGCGCGGCTGTCTGAATGGATCGAATCTTGCGAAATCCATCTGGGTCGTTGATCGATTCCACTTTCTCCGTGTCCCTCGGACACGGACACGCGTTCCTCTGCGTTCGCGTCGCGAGGAAAAGAGAACGCGAGGAATTCTGGCCGCCTGGCCGGGGCCGGTCCGTCGTTTTCGACGCTTCGAAACTGGAACCCGGCTCGGATCTCGTTCGAGGGCGCGATCTGCATGCGTATCGAATACCTGGGAACGATCGTCGGCTTCCTGGCTGGCGGAGGGGGAGGAAATCTACCGGTTATTCGAGACACGCCGCGCGCGCGGTCCGCTTCCAGCGACAAGCAAACAAGGAGCGAACGTGTGTAGCAATTCGAGATTGCAAAACTGCCGAGGCCGGCCGACCGGGCTGGGAAACGGGCTGAGAGACGAAACCCTGCTGGGAGACTGCTTTCCGAAAATCATCGCTTTTCGGATGCTGTCGCTTACTTTTGGTCGAGCTTCTTCCAACAGGTCTGTGGGACTCGTTTGGACGATCTGTTGCGTTCTGGTGAAAAGGTGCAGAGTGAGGAAAGTGTAAAGGGTCATTTCTTTTGGAAGCTGCTTTGATCTTATTGGTAGATGATTGGTTCTGGTTACTTGGTGGTGAAATGAATATTGTTAGAAGGAAATGAAAGTAGATCTAATCGCAGTTTCCTCTGAATCTTATCGTCTGTCTTTGTTAACTCTACGAATGTCGGTGTTATGAGAAGGTGAAATTGTAATGTTTCACATTGTAACTAGGTTGCAAAGGAATGGTTTGATTAATTAAACAGCAAGAGATCGGTACGTAGTTTCCTCTTATTGTTATTTAATCCTTTGCACTCCACTGGCTCTGCTCTAGATACAAATTGCACAATTCTTCTCCTTATTCGAAGAAAGCGAATTGACAAAGGAAACTAAAAGTGAATCCGTGAACTTTCCTTTTTCTAAACGAAATTTTAGGTTCTTGGAAGTTCCTCGATAGAAATCGACTACTAATGATATTCAATTTATCTTCATCTGCCAAAGGTCTTATACATTTCAAAGAATCTTCGTCAAAGGATTAACTCTAGCTACATTTCGCCGAAGCCCAACCCTTAAATATCATTCCCAGAACAAACTTTCGATCCTCTATCGCCACCAGGAAGAAGTTGACACCTTAAGGACGGATGACTCGATGTTACGTCAAGTCGACTGTTCCCTGTAGAAAGTACATCGGTTGAAATTCAGAGAAAGGGGCCGAAGTAATTCCGCATATTTTGAACGAAGAACAGTCGAGCGATTCGAGTGTCCGGCGGTTGACACGAATTTCCGTTTACCAGAGTACAAAAGAGTGTCGCAGAAGCCCGCGGGGTTTACGTAACTAGAAATTCGAGCGCCGCGGGCGATTTTCGGGAACAAGAAAGAGCCAACGGTAGCTCTCGATTGG